AAAACAATACGGACTACCCAGAGAAAAACGAATTAGAAACAAAGTAATTACGTTCAGTAGATGAAATGTAGATTTTACTTTTTTCCTAGAAAAACTCCGCAATACTCAACAACTACAAGTTAGTGTGATTCTACTCGCAAGTCAACAAACTACTGTGAATGATTTTGAACTACACCACTAGGTGAATCCTAAATATTTATAAAAATGAGGCACGTTCAAGTTACAATGACTTCCACTCTCTTCCGCCATCATTAACAAGTTATTGTATCGATTGTTCTAAACTGTCGATTTGATTGATGTTTTCGGGCGCGACAACTGTTAAGGTTATTAGTCCCGTAAGTGTAGAGCATTTTTTTGTCGTGGGAGGTGACGGTGATCTACCACTGGATAGTAAGCCTACCCCGACCTACACGTCGGCTAGGAATTTTTCCCAGCCAAGTATCTTCCATCTGAGAGCCATCATCCCAGTCGGAACAAGCACCAAGCTCCCGACCGGTCTCCGGGCATGTGTGGTAGTGTAGTCCATGTGAGTGTGTTTGTAAGTATGGGGTGAGGCTAGGAGAAAGGATGACGAAGGAAAGATTGCGCGCAGTCCGTGACCCTTTAGCGAGGGTACTACTCCGGCATTCGCCTGTTACTGATGAGAGAAACCATAGAAAACTACTGATCAGAGCAGCCGGCCACTAGAATGTTCGTCCAGACAGTGGCTGAACACGACTTAGCTATCTAGCCAGTGTCGAAAACCCTGCTACCGCCGGAACTCAAAACCCCGGGCAGAGGCACTGCAGTGACATAAATTCATTCCTTCAGCCACCTAATATCCTGTACACGGTCGGTGAACTGTTAAATCCGTAACGGACACCGGCCTTGATGAGCTGCTTTTCATTCCTCTCTTTATTTGCATTAATACGAGGTAACAGCACAGCATACCGATAAAATATGAATTCGTCTTGGAATTGTCCCTGTGCCCACTTAGTTCTTCTACTTCCGTGTCGTAGACTTCCGCCTCCCAAGTGCTTGCCTCAGCCCTGTTTCTCCTTGATGTCGTCGCCATTCGGCGTTAGGGGACGGTCGTCATAAACATCCCCACATCCTTCCTCGCGTGTGCATTTAACTTGCAATTAAAACGAGCGTATGCTTGGCCACTCGCGTGTCATTCATATTTATAATGTACGTAAACACGTTCCGCTACCTTTCAACCCTCTTGGTTTACGACGCGTCTACCCACACCGCTGAGCACACGAGGGCGTAACCGTCTGTTGAGAGAACTCTGTGGATGAACCGAGCCTTCTGTGTCCGAATTCTGAGGAGGGGCTTATTAGCAATCTGAGAATATTCAGGCGGGCGACGTCGTGTAGTAGACGGGAACAAACGACGGCGTAATTCACAACCGGCCACCAACCGTCGGTTCGCCGTCGACAGCTTCAACGCAGTAATATGGCGGAGAGATCGCGGCGTAGATTCATATGCAATTTACGGGCGACTCTCATGTATGAATGCATGTACTTACAGCGTAAAACCCGTACAAACGTACAGCTATATGGTATCTGTAAATACCTTTGTGGGGGATTTCGGAGGATTTGGTTGATATTGTTGTGGAGACAGGTGAAGCTATTATACGTTTTCAACTTCGAATGCAATATGGCAATGCAAATGACGCTCATGAATAATTACTTGCGCATTTCCCCAATTAGATGCAGAAACTAAGTGTTATAATACTGCGTGTTTGGAAAATACTAGTTAACGTGTTCCTCGCATTCAGTGAAAATGGAGGCGCTCTTATTTGCGAGGAACAAGATGACAAAATACTACAATTTAATAGTGGATTTTTTTGAATTAAAAATGGAATTTATTGTCACATCGGAATCCTTGGGCCTGCAGACACCAACAGAACTGCGTCAAATGAAAATATATAACAGGAACCCCAGTTTCTTGACGTAAAGTATTGAGGCATTGTTTTGTTGTATGAGTTCGTATTGTGAAAATGATATATCGTGGTTATATTACTGAATTTAAAATAGTTAAAAGCATGCTCAGAAGATGTTTGAATCTGTGAACGCTACAGAATCTAGTTTATTACTCAAAAATTTTAATGTTCTTTTACGAAAAAACTTACCATCAGTTAAGAAATTGATGTACATCTACGGAAATTGTTTCGAGTTTAATAATATACGAATGTGTTAACAGCTTCCGCTTTTAGTTGTTTATTATAAGTTAATAGTTATTAAAGAGTTTAATAATAGGGAAATTAAAGTTATTTTGTCTTTCATGTCTGCTTTATTCTCTTACTTCGTTTGTAGGCTACCTACAGTGCGTAATAGTAAATTACGTAACAAGGGTGCAAATCACCTCGCACTCTCTTGGGTATACTATTTTTTAACACACAGTGAGCGAAACGCAATTCGTCAAGTAAATGAATATAAAAGTTGCATGAGACAATTAAATAAAGTCATGTACAACTTTTAATAAAAAGAGTAGTTTTTGCGTTATTATTAACATATTTTTTATCAAAAACCGATTCCAAATTTTTCTTCAAGTTTCTCCCTTGAGTTACTTAAAATGAAGAAGAAGAAGAAGAAGAATCATTTTTGTTGAAATTTCTGAATTTTTGGAAATTGCAAAAGTAAAAACAGTGGGAAAAGTATGTGCTGTTGTAACATCAATAGTTAATTAAGACGGATATCAGGATTTCATACTATGGTCCGCTATAATATTATACAAGAACAAATCTTCATAAATATTAAATATTTTAATTATTTTACAAACATGTTTTGCTTTGTTTTTACTGTAAATACCGAGTGAATTGTTGCAGAATTCGTAAACCTCCCTTATATCATTAGTCTTGGTGAACAAGTACCAAACGACATGAAACAATGTCTTCGGTATTTTGATTTTCCGTATGTATTGCTTTTCTGTTATAAAGTTTATATTTGTGATTTTGTGTTAATTTAAACGCAAGGGTTCAGCTAATAAATTTACACACATTAATGATTTTAAAAGAATAATGTTATCAGGTTTGTAATTCTCATAACAGCGCATTTAATTAAATAATATGTTCATATTACTTGTTTGTCTGCTAATGACACTATTTCTATTTACAATAATTGCCATTAGCGTAATACACACCGTGATTATCACTTGATACCTGTGGAATTCACACCTACTGGTGCTTGTGAAATATCCTAGGGTTTTGAAATGCTATTGATTAAATTAATCCCGTATGTTACCTGTATCCCTGAAACATTTTTAAGTAATTTGATGGACTTTTAGTATTTACGTGAAAATGCAATTAGTTTGGAGCATCCTCACTCATACCTACAAAGCGCTGTAAACAAATAACAACTGTAACTGGTGATGCTACGGTAGCATATATTTTATTGCATTATTTGTATTTTTTTTCTATTTTCGAAAATTCAGAAAGTTCAATGAAAATGAAACCTGCATCAATTTCATAAACATGTTTTTTCTCTATTCTAGGAAAACAATATGGAAACATGTATGAGGACTTTTCATGTACTTTATTGCTTTAAAGGAATTTATTTTTTCTCACAAACGGCTTCAATTATTTTCATTTAATTTTGTTCCTCATATACGGTATAGATTGCTTAAAAAGGCACAGGAAGTATTTCGTTGAACAATGAATTTTCAAAAATAACAAAATATGCGAAAAGGTATGTTCTGATGTAACACCACAATATATTTTTATGATATGTTAGTATATGTTAGTGGTTCGTTAGTGGAATGAATTTTATGATATGTTAGTGGTTCTACAAACGAAAACCACCTTGAATAACAGTGTAGTTCTTTGGCTTATGCCTATTGCAAACAAAAGGGCCCAATTAGTTGCACTATCTCTTAATACAAAAATATAAAATGCATATACTCTCAATACATAAGTATAACTAGTGCTACAGATCGGCAAATACTTTCTGGCAGTAATTTATTTTCTAATGATTTCAATCAAGGATAGCTTTTTTTATTTGCCCCATTCTCTTTCCAGATCCTACCTAATGGCTCCTTAAAAACATTCCTTCACATTTTCTCAATATTTCGGTTCCCAAATAGAGTTGATATACGGCTTAATAGTGGAGTAAAAAAAGTCATGTATGTTCAACGAAAAATTTGAAGCAGTTTTTGAAAATGTGTCCTTTTTGCGATTCTCAAAATTCTCAATGATAACGTTATTTTCACATAATTGTTCGATTTGTCTAGAAACGTCTGGGGAAATAATGGAAGGCACATGTGCTTACTAATGTAATATTGTATAAAAATTGCCCGTAACATAAGTATAAACAACATGATAGATATAAAAATATCAAAAAATAAAATAGCCAAATTCATCGGGAAATGTCAATTTTGGTGAGAATCATGTTTACAATTTTGCAGCTAGAGTTGACTGACGGACAGACGTTTTGCCATACTAATTGTTTCCAGAATCAAGGACCAGCCATACGTGGATTTTATCAACACGTTTCTGAACGAAAATAAACCCCGTTTTTGTTATTGGGGGCCTACAATACAATATTTACCCCCAAAAATGGCCGTTTTTTGCTATAGCGTTACATAACTTTCTCTATACTACGTAAGTAGTATGTGAGAAAGTAGAAAGTGTATTGCGTTTTATTACTACTTTTTCTAATGTGATTACGAATTATACAAATATTGAGGATCAATGAACGGAACTAGCCAGCTCTGTGCCTTAACGAGGAGCAAACTATTTTGTAACTCTAATTATGGTCTTTGACATTGCAGACTTTTATTTAATATGTATATTTTCTAGAAAATCCTGCATATTCAGATAGCATTTAAATTTTAAACGTTTATTAAATATTGATTGTGCATTCGTGTTCACAAGGTTCCTATGACGTTACGATGTCTCGTAATTTCTTAAATAAAATGTGTGTTTGATTTAATTTGGTTTTGGCTGTGATCCTATTATAATTTGCTGATCGGAAGTTCTCGGTTCTAATATGTCTAAACGTGTATTCATTATTTTTCAGAAATCGCACGCCGTGGGGATAATCTGTTTGCAGAGTACACAACGTGCGGAGTTCCTATTGTGCAAGGAATTATGCGGCAGAGAAGCTAGTGGTAAGTTTTCCATTTGGAATGTACATGGCTGTTTATGACCGGTTACATCGCCTTACTAACAAAGGAGCGTGGTTATAATTGTAATTGTTTAACTTTGTAAAGTCCATTGTTGTAATTTAGGTAACCTTTGAGAGTTATTCCTTTCTTTTATTTTCCATTCGGTATATTTTATACAAAGTACATATAGCAGATGAGAGGTTCTACACGAGTACATATTCGGAATTTTTGTTCGATTATTGAAAGAGATTGAACCTTCGCCTTCAAGTTGGGGTGCTTCGTCATCCACCGGGCATCGAGTTCACTTTAAATCGCACTGCTTCGTCGGCCCGCCCGCGGAAGTTCCAACTCTGGCCAAAAAATAAACGACGTCGCTGCGGGCTCTCTTTGGGAGTCGGAACGAGTTCTGAACGAGGGCTACACAGCGCCGGGCGAGTAGAGGCAGAGGGGAGGGGGTCGGACGGCGGGTGGAGAAGAGTCCAAACCTGGACAGGAAGGAGGGATCGAAGCGGAATTTAGGAGGGGATGGAAACACGAACGGGGAAAAGACGAGGTGGAATATGGTGAGTGATTGTTTGTGATTCCGCGGGGCGCCGCCCCAGCCGGGACAAACTCTAAGCTCCCGCCTGCATACCCGGCATGTATAGTAGTGTAGTGCTTATAAGTGTGTATGTGTGTGTAGGGGAGAGGATTGGACAATGAAGAGGAAGGAAAGATCGCGCGCGGTCCGTGGTTCGTTTGTTAGCGTACTGCTCCAGCATTCGCATGGTGTTGATCGACGAGACCACGGCAAACTACCGATCAGAGCAGTCAGCCGATAGACTTATTTTCCAAATAGTGGTTAAATTCGACCTAGCTTACGAGCACGTGTCAAAATCCTACCTCTGACGGGACTCAACCCAAGGACCTCCCGATCAGAGGCACTGCTGTGACTTCGGTTGACGCCCTGAGCCACCTCTCGTGGTTGGGATCATGTGAAGGCGTGGTGGGATGGGAGGGGGTGCCGGGAGTAGGCAAGTGTCAGCGCCGGGGCGGTGGGAATTACTCGGTCAGCTGACAGTTGATATTCCCAAAGTTGAGCATGGAGATCTCGCGTTACGTGTTGTAGACTTCACTCGAATTCTCTGAGTTCTATTCCAAAAGCAACCACTACGTAGAGACCACAACGCATCCTATCCTCCTGTTAGGAAAACCACTTGCTTGTTCGTATTTGTTCGAGAGCAAAGAGTTTGAGCCAAGTGTGCTCGAGAGTTTGTCGTCAAGCGCGGTCGAGACCGCATATCGTTTGAGGACTGAGCAATGGGACAGATTGCTTCCCATTGGACGGGACAGGACAGGCGGCAAATGTCAAAAGATAGTGCACAGAATTAAGATTCCTACGTAAGCAACAAATATGAAGAGCATTTGTGGCTATCATTCCATTGCATTTAGCTACGTTTACTACACATAAAATAATTTAATATTTAAAGGAAATGTGACGGTGTCTGACTTTAGACACTAGCTAGACAAGATTGAATTCCGTCGCTGCATGAAAAAATATTCTAGCGGTCGGCTACTCGTATATGTAGTTTTTACATGTTTTTGCATCATGACTAAAAAAAGGAGCAGTACATTAACAAACGGATGCCAAAACGTGTGCTATTATTCCATTCCTTATACTTCTTCCTTTCTTTCACTATACATACAATCAGTCAACAATATGTCGAGGGACTTCAGCTTCTCGGATGGGACTGTATCCTAGTAGGGGAGATACCTTGAAGGGGATCCCTCTGTAGAGACATGTAGATTGGCGTCGGATCTCACACACCAGCTTGGGACGAACATTGCCTCCTCCAGAGATATTTATGCTCTACACTTAGAGGATTATTTCCCATAGTAACTGACCAGTCCGGAAAAAAATAACCAATCAATAATTGAGATTCTCAAAAGTAAGTCTCCAGTGACCACCGGAGTTGGGAGAATGCAGAAGTTGGGAGAATCTGTTAATGCATCTGATTTCGTAAATATTTCGCATTTTCTCTCCTTCTTTCAGTTTTTTATTCTTAAAGGTGACAACATGCACACATTATACTGTTCCCTTTTTTGTCACATACAGTTTTTACTGTTTTGACGAAATAAATCAAATCGCTCTCTCTCTCTCACACACATGCATATACATTTAATATCACCGTGACGAAACGTATGATCAATCATTTTCGTTATCCATTGATAACTAAACTGTATGCTGGATAAACATTATATGTTTAAGATTGAGGAAGGATATGGAAATTTAAAAGACCCAAACATGTGTGAGCACGGCTAGGCTCCATCCGTTCTCTATCACGTGAACCAACCTCTACCTGCCCCGATGTTGCCATGGGTGACGATGTGTCATTTGAGTCATCCCGAGTCACCCTCACGAGTCAAACTCGTTAACGTACAGCCACCCTACGATATAAGGAAAAGGGGGTGCTTCTCCATCCCATGGATTTATGCTTGCTATGTGGAGCATTAGATGCGTCACGAACACGTGACCAAACGAACAGGCACATCGTTTGAAAGCCAGGCCAGACGTTGCTGGCCGCCAAGCGACGTGGCAAGCGAGCAGTGCAAGTGAGAAATATCTTGAAAGATGAAGACAATTTTCAACGGTGATCATCGAAAAATAATACGACGAAGGTATCGTTGGATTAAAAGGTAGAAAGTTAGAGATATGCTTCTTATGTCTGTTTCATTGATCTGTAACAAGGTAATGATTGTTTTGGTATCTGATTGCATTTAATATAGTAACGCAAAGTGGTGAATGAAGCTTATTGGTTCACGCCAGAGAGGCTGCACAACTCCACGCCTAATACCGTATTTTACGAACTATAAGACGCACCTTCATTTTTAAGATTTTTTTAAAGTAACATTTTTACAATTTTCATTATTAGCTTGCAAAGCCAGACTAAAAAAATAGTTTATAAAACCGAAGTGACCTTAAAAATCCTCGAAAATCGTATTGAAACTAGCTACAAACAAAAACATTGTACTGTTACTGCTGACACAAATAACTTTCAAGTTTTCTGTCTCCGTGGACTATTAATGACAAATTATAGGCTAGACAGACTACAGGGTTTGTGATGGGGCGGGAGGGAGACCGTGTTTTTAAGCTAATGAATCCCCGAAGCTGAAGCTCGCATTAGAGCGCTGCTGCTGCTGCTGCTGCTGCTGCTGCTGCTGCTGCTAGCTGAATCCAATGTTGCCAGATTGAGACAGGTTTTCCCGCGGAATCGAATACATGGCCATTTTTAATATTGGCGGGACTTTTAAATCTAGCGCTAGCTAACATTTTTATAAAAATTTCGAGTATAAGACGCACCTGAATTTTGGAGGCAATTTTTCGAAGAAAAAAGTGCGTTTTATGGTGCGTGAAATACGGTATATCCTTGCATCACGCGTCCTCCTTTAGACGCTCTGACCCAATTCCAGACGTTTCGATCGGAGCAAACATCTAGAAGCATCTCACGACACCGGAGGCCCGCGAATGTCCCAGATTAGAAAACATCTCGAGCGGCACCGGCCGCATGGCTATGGATTAATTTTCCTGGCGCCCGCCACCAGACTGGGTGAAGGTGCGGTTCCACGCCCTTGAATTTACACTTTTAAGAAATTCCATTCGAACCCTGGGCGCGAGAGCCGGCGGGAGGGCGGTTATGGCTGTCTGCCGCGTGCCTGGGTTGGCAACGGCCTCCCGCGTTCGCTTTCACGCCCTGCGGTCGCAGGAGGCGCCGCCTCTTCGGCGGGCAATATTCCCAAGTGTGCCTGGTGGACTCGCCCGCTGCCGTGAATGTGCCGTTTGTTTAGACGTGCCATTGCACGTGAAGTTTCACGGTTCTCGTGAAACTCGTTTTAGAAGAGTCTGCGATTGTTTGAATGTAGATACTGTCTCAGTTGCTTCAGTGTGTTTCTAAGGCGAAAAGGGTTATCCTATTATTTTCAGTGACTGAGCATTTGTTTCATAAAATCGTTTTTGAATCCTCTAATAGCAAGAAACGATTCAAGGGCGCACGCGATAAGATTGGTCGGTGACCCAGATATTAAGAAATTACCGCGACTAAGAAAATAATTTATTTTCCAGAAACGTGTATTAGTTTTAGGACAATAAAGTTCAGGCAAAATTGTCATCTAGATTTGGGGTGAATATTCATTCTTTAAGGTTAAACACTTTTAATAATACATTGTAAAAGAGGTGTACCACAATAACAACATAAAAATTCTCTCCAAAATGTTACGAGTCAGGTGTGTATGGCATATGTTTGTGACTAAGGGGGATTGAAAGGGGGATTGAAAGGGGGATTGAAAGGGGGATTGAAA